TCAGAAAGGTAAAAATTTTATTTTATTTTATTCAACAAAGAGAAAAACAGATGTATCGATGATTAAAATTAACTATAAAAAAGTGATAAATCGCGTTGTTAGTGTTTTTTAGCAGTGTGTCGTGGAGGTGAGGGTGTGGGCAGTGTGAGAGTGAGTTCGAAAAGTAGTTTCACACAAAACATATTTTCATCATGCGAAACTGTATATCTGTTACTAGATCACACAATAGCTATTCACCATCCAACTTCTCTCAGGTTTCATGTAGATCGCTTAAATGTCGGTCGCTCAAGTGTCGGGTCGCTCAAACGTCGGTTAATCGTCGATAACCTTTCTTGAAATCAAGAAAAGATATTTCTTATCTTTGCTCGATGTCTATTCTAGAATCTTCGCTCGTACTATAGCTTATTGGGGAAAACTATTAGCTAATCAACGAAATGCTAATGAACAACAGAAAATAAAAGAAACTAAAAAAAAAATCAATGTTGTTTAATAACGACATCTTAAAATTGTTGACATTTTATATGATCGACATTTTTTTCTTCGACCAAAAATGCTTCGAGATTTCTTTTTCGACAGTTTTTCTTTCGACGTTTTCATATCCGTTCAAATCAACACTACTTTTGGATCTGGCTATTTCAAAAGTAAAGGTTTTGTTGTCAACACCGCTTTTAATTTTTCAGACACTTCTTTTTTGCTCGTTCTCCAATACAATTCATGATGATTGGCTTTTGCCTTATTTATTACCTAATGGATTGGTGCTGTGATAACAGCAAAATCTTTAATAAATTGACGATATCAGTTTGATGCACCACTGAATAAATTTGCTTTCTTCAACGTTTAGTGATTCTGGTAACTTGAGAATTGCAGCGATCTTCTCCTGAGATGGCTTTGTACCGTGTGCACTGATTGTATGACTAAGATAATCGATTTTTGTTCGTGTGATTCCATACGCCCGTGTGTTCAGTTGAAATCGATATTGATTCACTTCATCTAATACAATTTCCAAATGTTCATATGATCTTCGAATGATTTTGAAAATACAATTATATCATCCAAACAGACCAAATAAAAATTTTGACACGATGCTACAACATCATTCATAGTAAGTTGAAATGATGGTGATGCATTGCATAATCTAGCTGCTGTAACATTAAATTCGAATCGACCATGAACGGGGATGAAAGTCTTGTGCTTATCCCTTTCCTTAATCGAAGTTTGAAAATAATCCGATTTTAAATCAAGTTTGGTGAGATATTTGTTCTTACCTAATCGCTTTATTATTCATTCCATGTTCGAAGGAGAATATGAATCTTTTACTGTAATTTAATTCAATTTATAATAATTGACAATAAAACGATATGAAACACGTTTTTGGAAATCAATAATACCGGAGCAGCATATGGAGAATTCGAAAGTCTAATTTACGCTGAATCCTACATATCGCGTGGCATCATGAACAATGCCTGCCGCTTTTGTATGCGTGGTCTTGGTCTTAGGGATGGGTCAATCATCATTTAATAAACGAACAAGAAACCCATATTTATTTAATTGATCGTCCATCTTAACTACTACTGGACCTTTTTGAGTGTACGATTTTGTTCAGGACAATTAGACTTTCGAATTCTCCATATGCTGCTCCGGTATTATTGATTTATAAAAAGAATGGTTCATATCTATAATATGAAACTCGACTTGATACAAATTTAGTTTAGTAGTTTTACAACCGCTTATCAGTAGTTACTAGAGACTCAAACAGAATTTATTTCTGAAAGAATCAAAAGATAATAATATCTTCGTTTGATTCTTTCAAAAATAAATTCTGTTTGAGTCTCTAGTAACTACTGATAAGCGATTGTAAAACTTCAAAAGAAAATAGTTCATATCGTTCAGTGGTCGATTACTGTAAATTGAATTAAATTACAGTGAAGGATTCATATCCTCTTTAGATAAGGTTCCTTTTAATGCCAAGAGATTAATGGTGGAGTTAAGAATACTTTTTACCATTTACAAGTATTAACGCCATGCCCAAACAGTATTCATTCATTGAAAATTACTTTTCTTGAAAAAGAAAGATTATTTGATGCGATTCAGGAAAATGCAAACTTTCTTAATTTTTCCCATCATAAAATGCATTTCGAAGGCTTTAAAGATGAAAAGAATTATATAAAATCTAATTTCCTCTGGACCTATGTTGAAAGGAAAAAATGTTGAGGTATCTACAGAATTTTTCACTTTCTTCTATCAGATTTTTATTCTAGATAAAAAAGATTTGAAAATCAGAAATTTATTCTCTTATTAATCAAAGCTCAGAAAAGTCGTTTACCTATGAATCATTATTACCATCTTCTTCAACGGATACAATACCTTCATCATCATCACCATCAACAGCCATACCATCGCTACAACAATCAGTCAGCGTTGAATTAATCTCTCGGATACTAGAAGAATTGTATGAAATTGTAAAAACAGCGAAAATTTACACTTAAAATTTAACTAAATGAAGTTTCTAAATTTCTTTTTACTACAAACTTTGTATGCAGAATTCGAAAAAGTAGCACGTTTTGTTTAGTTTGGTCAATATTCTTTCAACTAGTCTGTAAGCCCTTTTTTGGCGATCATCTAAGATTTCAATAAATTAAAATGCAAAAACTACGGATTATCTAAGAAATTAGTGGCAACTTTTAAAAAACTGTTTATCTTCAAGAAGAAAGCTATCCAGAGACTAAAAATTTGTATTTATAGATGACTTTGAATGGAGAATCGAATGAAATGATCAAAAAGTAAAATAAAAATTTTTTTATCACATATCAATTGCGTTTTTGCAGGTATTGTCGACTGGCTCGTCAAAAGAGTTGTTTAATCTTAAACTGGTTTCTGCATGTGAAAATTCAGAAAGTCTCTCAATTTATATAAATCGGCAATCTCAAACCTATCAAAAAATGGACGACCAAGGTCAAGAACAGCCAATGTTTCATATGAAAGAGCGCATCAAACTCGACATAGCTCGATAAAGAAGAATTATGCGATACTTCTCAGTCTTGAGAAAATAATTACTAGAAAACTCGGTTTTCTAGAATCATTAGATAGCTTATGATGTGTACTATTAGGATTCATAGTTATTTGGTCTCCATCAAAAGGATATGAGCCTTTTACAGTAAAAAGACTTTAATTCACATTCGGAAAGACTGATGACAATTAGTACAATTTCTAGAAATCACAAATTTCTAGAAATAATCCGTTTTGGGCTTTTTTCATACAAAGTTGAAAAAACCATTAAACTGATCAAAGTCAAAAACATCTTGTTGGCACAAGGAGAAAGAAAGAAAAAGGAATTACAAATAAAAAAATATAGTGTGTTTCAATTCAAGTGAATTCCGTCCAAACTGATGTATAATGTTTCAACGTGCACAAAATGCAATGAACAGGACGACAGAAAAACAACTATTCTCAGTGTGTAAGAAAACGGAAAGAGAACGCAAGGTGTTTTCAGTAAGTAAAATGCGCTGCATTTGTACTGAATAAAAAGTGTTTTGTATTGGTTTAAAGCACACTGATAAAAATGAAAATCACAGCTTCTTTTTGTTAACATACGCACCACATCATCACATGAAAGCGAGAAGTGCTTTTTTAAAAACAAATAGAGTTAATAGAGCTGCGACAAATAGCGATTTTCTTTTCTTTTCTTTGTTCTTTTCTATTTTCTTTTCTTTTCTTTGTTCTTTTCTATTTTCTTTTCTTATTCACGTTATATATAGTGTGTGCTCACGTTGATCGATGAGAATAGAACTAATTTTCTTTGTACTTTAAAAGTTATTGGTCATCAGTGATATTGAAGTTATGTGTTGAATTTCAGTTGATAGTGTAGTTCGATTGTTAGATGTGGATGTATGGTACACATATATAACATACGAGTGATTCTGGTGATTTTTGTAGCGTTCGGTTTAAGCTAATGGAAATGCATGGTTCTCCGTTAATACTAAATCGAACTTTTAGAAGCTTATGCCATTTTATTCCGGACACTTTACTCTATATATACTGCTAAGATCTCTTTTCTGTCTTATTTTCTTAGTGTACAGTAAGCAAAACACTTTGTTTTGGGTCCTTTTTCCTTTCTTTTCTTAGTGGTTCCTGCACGTTCTTTTTTCTTAATTAACATTTTTCTTTTCTTAAGGGATAGTGGAACAAAATCTTTTTTGCTTTTTGTACAGTATTTTACCTGCTCTGTCAATCTGCAGTCTTAGTTTTGCCTAATCTCTTTTAGTTTCTGTGAAAACTTCGATGAAATTTCTGGTCCTCGAAAAGTTCAAAAACCGTGTCCCATCCCCTTACTGATACTATCACTAATATACTAATCTATACTAATCTATAGGCTAAGGCTACTTCTTCGAGACAAGCTTCGATGACTTGTATAGTCGTTGAAGAGAAAGTTTTCTAAGTTATTCGAAGAAAATCAGCGTTACATATATACTAGTAGTAATAGCAAAAGAAAAGAGGTGAATGACTTGTCAAGATGACTTTAAAAAGTGTCTTTTCAAAAAAAATGCTTCATTTCACACTGTTTGTTACAGTGCTTTCTCTTGGGTTACTTCAAAAGCATTTTTCTGCTATACATTTGAAACGTAAAATTGATGTATGTACATTTGAAACGTAAAAATGCTCTTTTTGCAATCACTTTGAAAGCGCCTTTTTTCCCGAAGTGCTCTAGTTTACGGCAGATCAAAAGTGATTTATTTTCTCTATATCTGAAAAGTTCTCTTCTCTCTATATATGTGTAGCCGTGCGCTTTATAGCAAAACACTTTTTGTAGTACTTTATTTTTTACAGTGTGCTTACTCTGAAAAATCAGTCTGTGATTAGTCGTTCTTAAGAAGCGCTTGAAAAATGGGTGTCTTTAAACGCAAGGAGAGCTTTATCTGACGAAAAGGATATGCAGATACATACGAATTCTGTATCAGGGATATTGTTCTTCTCATAAGACTCTTATCTATTCTTTCTAAGTTATGGCAGAGTCAAAGAGTGTTCAGCGCCTTCGGCAAGAATTAAATGACTTACTAGCAAATGCCCTCGAATTTGTAACTGATCTAGAAGTTGTTGAAGATGATCCTTACCATTGGAAAGGGAAAATGATCGGTCCACCAGATACTCCATACACTGGCGGTACATTTGAATTTGAAATAACATTTACACAATGGAGTATCCTTTATGAACGTCTTCAAAAAATCTGATTTTTTGCTTTACCCAATAAGCAGCTCTCTAACTCTCTGTCTAGCAGCATGCTACCTGGCTTTTATCTTTTCTCTACTTAGCGGAATGTCCTGAATGAACGTTTTTAAACAATTTCCTTTGCGAGCACCTACATTTAAATTTATAACAACAATAGATCATCCAAATATACATTCGACAAATGGTACGATTAGTCTAGCTTTATTGCAAAGGGAATGGACACCGAAAACATCAGTGAGAACAATTTTGGAAGCTATTTATTCATTATTAGTTGTTCCAGATTATGACACACCGATTGAGCCAGAAAAGACAAAAAATAAAACCTAAAATATTATGAGCGGAACCGAATAATAACTAAAACATTCATCAGTCTGTATAGTTTACATTATTTCTGTTTGTATTTATCTTTTTGTATAAGAAAACAGCAGAAGATTGATACTAGGCGAGTTTCATGAAAAATATTTTTTTGATATCTCATCCCCAACAATACATTTTTCAAAACCCTCTGGGGCTTTGGATTTGAGGTCATGCTGGTTCTAATGGCGTTCTCAGTTTTGTCACGCTGCTTAGAAGACCCGGTTTTGGTTGTTTTTCAGAATTTCTGGAAAACTGTTTTTCCAAAAACTCTGAAAAACAACCAAAGCTTTTCTTAATAAGCCATGCTTGTAGCCGGTACATTTCTGATTAAAATGAGACCTCTCCCAACGCTACATGACCTTTCTTTGCAAAGTTGTAGAATTTACAAGAAAAGCCCTAAATGTTTATTGTCAACTCAAAGCTACAGAAATAAGAAGAAATTAATTTACGGCTTTCCTTGCAAATTCTATAACTTTGCAAAGAAAGGTCATGTAGAGTTAGGAGAGATTTCATTTTAATCAGAAATGTGCGGGTTACAAGCATGGCTTATTAGAAATGCTTTGGTTGTTTTTCAGAGTTTCTGAAAAACTGGTTTTCCAGAGTTTCTGAAAAACTGGTTTTCCAGAAAACGTCTTCTAAGCAATGTGACAAAACTGAGAACGCCATTAGAACCAGAATGACCTCAAACCCAACCTCCAGAGGGTTTTGAAAAATGTATTGTTGGCGATGAGATATCAAAAAATAATATTGTTCATGAAACTCGCCTATTAATGAGTGAATTTTCCGATCATTTGTTTTGTTGTAGTCCATATTCTAACATTGATTTGATTAATGGTTCATCTTTGTCATGATTCGTTACTTTCTTCATTCTTTGTTGCGAAGGAAATGACCAAGAGATGTTCGACGAATTCGATCTACGACCCGTTTTTGAAATATAGTGTACATGACTATTTTTGAAGACCACTGGTCTTCTATTATGTCCGTGAAAAACACCGGAAAATGCCCTATACCTACTTATACTGGAATTTTGAAAAACATTTCGCAAAACGTACTTCTAATAGGGGTGGAGAACGAAGAACGATAGAGGGGTCGTATTTTCACCATGTTGTAGTAAAGACTTGGCGCTATTCACCTGTGGAAAAACGGACTAGAAATTTCAGATCTGCCTTGAAACACTGCATCGAACAAAGTCCGAGAGACCCCTATCCTCAAAAACGTCATTGGATAGCCTTCCTTGGTAAAAGTTTTTTTTGCATTTCTTGGCCAAGCTCTTGCCCCACGAAATGTCCCAAGATCTTGCGTTTCTTGGGTGAGAAAGTAACACTTTATTTTCTTGCATTTCGTGGGGCCAAGATCTTGACTCAAGAAATCCAAGAAATTTAATTTCTGTTCCAAAAAATATGAAATCCGATTTCTTCGCCCAAGGAACATGAATTTCGAAGAACGCTAAAGAAAATATGTTTTATGGTTGACTATAAGCATCGGAAACAACTTTAACTTCTCAATCAAAATTTTCTTTCCCTTCTATGTAAAGATTAGCTTTTGAAGAAGCTAACGTCTACCAGATTACAGTGCTCTCATAGTTTTCTAGATCTACCTCCCAATCTTAAAAAGGTTGATTTTCTCTCGTTCGTCTTTTGTGAGTTTCATCAATAGAACAATCGATTTAAAAGGATCTGTCAAACAAAAGTTAGAGGCTCGGTTGGAAGTTGAGATTAAAATAAGTAGTACACAGCAATTTTATTTATAAACACACTTTTTCTTTCTCCAATTTCTCTCTACTTGGCATAGGGACTATGCTAACGTCTTTTTGAACTTTTAAAAAGGTTTTAATTGTTATTTCTAAAATAACTTCAATCTCAGACTAATCTTAATTCTCGCGTGTATTTCTCAATTATCGTTCAAGATATAACTGGAGAGAGCGAGTGATATTTTATGGTTCATGTGTGAATATTACCGATAAGGTAACGTATAGGGGTGGCACTTCCCTTTATCATTACAGAAAACAGAAAACCGTTAGCCGTTACCAGTAACGGTTGTTACTTCCGGAAAAGTAACGCATGAATTGTTTTTTGGTTGAAATAACCCGTTCATTCAATTGTTATCCCTTTGACACTTATAGAAATATTGAATTAAAGGATAGATTTTTGTTAGTTCGATGATATAAGCACATTCTAACATACAGTTCATTTTTGATATAAGAACCATTCCTGATGCCCTTTCCCATTGTTTAGCGAAGAAAAGAACAAAATAAGCAAAAAATATATATGTTGTGGAGAAAGTACAGTATTAGCGAACCTTTAGATTTCCTACAGTACTGAGAAAGTATAGAATGGGGTTTTGAGCCTCGATAGGGAGTGAACAGAATTTTCAAATACTGCAGTTCTTACTAGTTTTCCCCCGAGAAAAACGATAAATCTTTTAAATGTGATAATTTCTCCCTCTTTTCACGACATTTTTCACTCATGATGTAGTTTTTGAATACACATGATTCATCCATTAAGTGTGGAGTGGTGACAACATCCACAATTCCGTGGAATTAGTCTAACCGCCACTCACTCTCACGATGCAGCGTCCCCTCTTCTTACTCACATACTGGTAGAATTGCAACTCTAGTTGTAATCTGAACAGAATCTGTTCAATTTTATTGGAATTCTGCTCGATTCTGGTTGAACTAAAATTGGAAGTAGCGAGAGGGAGCGCTGCATCGTGAGAGTGAGTGTCGATTAGACTAATTCTTGAATTTCCATGGAATTGTGGATGTTGTCGCCACTCCGCACTGGACGAATGAATCCTGTATATTCAAAAACTATATCATGAGTGAAAAGATTCGCTAATTCTGTATTTTCTCCTCAACATATATATTTGATCATTAGCGCTGATAGGAGAATGGGCTGCACACTAATTAATTATTGACCATATGTCGGCAGTTAATTTAGTATTCAGTTATACTGTTTTTTTCAGATTAACCGAATCTTAGATTTGACACAGTTTCAAGCTAGAAACATGAAATGTTTAAAAGAACTTTTTTTTATCAGCTATAGAAATACTTAAGTTATTATATAAGTTTTTATTATTCTATGTAGACAATGCGAAAGGGGAAAGAAGAATTTTGCTTAGTAACAAGTAACAGGACAATCACAAGAGTGCATAGATGACTACATGACATAATATATAAGCATACGGCAATTCTTTATTCTTTATTCCAAATCAGGAGAAGAAATGCAAAAGACGTAGTGATGCAGACATTTCTGCCTATAATAGTAAACACTTTAATCGATCTGATTTTATTTGCTGACATATCACACGGATTTAAACATATTTCTCTCGCATTCACACGAGCGGATCGTCTGATATACGGTGCAACCGATCATATATGCAAATAATGAAGCAGATCAACCCACTGTTCTCATAGCAATTACTATTCCGAAAGCGTTCTAGGGAAATATGAGCACCGATCTCTTACTAGTCAGAATTTTTAGAAAAATGATCGATCTGGTCCTGTCTGCACATGTTCGCCGGTGACCGACCGGTCGATCGTTATTTTGTTGACCGGTTGCATCTTTGAGTGAAGCTTCAGTTGATTTATTTTCATTGGTAACTAAAGCAAACATGAATATAGAAGGATTAAGAACGAAGGGCTCAGTCGAAGTCCGCAAAGCCCCATGAATACATGGATTTTTCTTTAGTAATGTAGAAACGTTTGCACTCGACTATTAGCATAGTCTACTATACTCTCTAAAAAAAGGTATTTTAAAATACGGTAAATGGTATAACCATTTGAACTATATCATAGCTGTTTCAGAGATGAGCGAGTCACCACTTTTTCGAGTCTGAGTCGAGTCCCAGTCAGTAGCTTTCGAGTCGGGATCCGAGTCCGAGTCGCATCAAAAATTGACTCGAGTCACTTCGAGTCATTTCGAGTCATTTTCTACAGCAAAACTTCCTCCTGACTCATTTTTCCAAGAACAGTTCTTCAATCTTCTCCTATGACGCGATGTTCTACTTAGACTATTCTCAAATCTCTCTGTCCTCTGGCACATAGCATATATGATAAACACTGTCATAATAATCTCAAGTTGCACATGGCTGACTCGTAAGTGACTCAAGTCAGTTTATCACCTTTATCGCGTCTTTCACCTCGAGTCCGAGTCAAAGACAAATGCGACTGGAATCCGACTCACGACTCGGACTCGCCCATCTCTGAACTGTTTAAACGTTTTTTACTTTTATCAAAAAACCCTTTTGGTATTTTTAGAATACGAAAAAGCCGTGATTTAAAAAACCCTGAAATGCTTTGGTATTTTAAAATACCTGAAAGGTTTTTTTGACACGAAGAAACATCAGTCGTTTTTCAGAACATAATTTAGCCATATTTTAGAGCGAAAATTAGTTTTTTGATAAGAATAAGAAACTTTTAAACAGTTATGGTATGGTTCAAATGGTTATACCCTATAAACGTTTTTCAGGGGTGGTTATACCTTTTTTTTGTTTTTTTAAATGGAAAATATCTTTTAGGGTTTTTTGGAATATCTTTTATGTTTAGCGTGTAGACACTTGTCTGAGATGTGAAAATGAATGAAAAGTTGGAAAAAAATGAACATCACTACACTTCTTCCGATAAACCGGTCTTTGGGTTCAAACTGTACTGCCACATCTGCTTCGAGAAAAAAGAGATTGTTCAAAGAACAAACAATTAGCCTGTTCAATCTCTTAGTAGGTAGATGATCACAGTTGTAAAGCGATGAAAATTTTTGAAATACTCTCTGTTTACTCATTAATCTCCATTTCTCATCGAGATCGATGAGAACGAGAAATATACACACAAACAGGCTGCCTACTGAGTACTGACTAGTTACGAATGTTAAGGCTGCTTTCCAATCTGTCGGTTCAAGCGAGTTTGGCAGACGAATCGATGAAGTAAGGTAATAGGGAGAGTTATTGGTGAATTCAATCGGTTTAAGTTGGTTTGTTAAGCGTACTCTGCACCCCTTTTTTTTATCCTGTTGAAAATCAGAAACGTCGATGTTCGATCGGGGTGAAATTTATAACAGAGAAAGACCCTTGAAAAAGGAAATCGATTTATTTTTGTCCAGAATTTCCTTACGTGTTCTTCTGTGGGTTTTCTGAAAAACTCTAGTTTTTATCAGGCCACATTACGATTCCTCGATAAAATGATCCGATCGAGGCGGAATTTTACTACAGATACTTTAGACCCTATCTCAGGTTCGGGTTTTTTCTTTCAAAAAATATGCTTTCTTTCTCAAGATATCCTAAAAATGCGGAAAATCAGACAAAAAAACTGATTCTTTTTTGGTTGACTAGAGTTTTCCACAAAACCCATAGAAGAACATGTCAGAAAATTCAAGGCAAAAATACATCGATTTTCTTTTTCGATGTTCTATCTCTGGAATAAATCCCACCCCAATCAAGTATCGGCTTCTCTGGTTTTCAAGAGGGTCACAAAAGAGGGGAGGGTACTCTTAAGTCTATTATCTAATTTCTCTTGAATAAAATAAATACAAAGCAACTGTAGTTATCTCGAAATCTAACTATCAGATAGTACGACTGGGATACGGTGCAGATATGGAAATACTATGGGGATATAGCGGGAACACACGTCGTATCTCCCTTGAATGTTAGTAGTGCTTGTGTCGAAGAACGCATTCCGATCTTCCTAAACCCGGAAAACAGAGACAGACTTTACTTGTAGTAGTGCTTGTGGTGGTTGTCGTGCTTGTGCTGGTTGTGCGAGTTGTGGTGGTTGCTGTGGTGATGGTACTGTTAGTGCCAGCGATGATGCTACTGGTAGCACCAGTGGTGATGGTACTGGTAGTAGTAGTGGTGACTGAATTCCTGATGGTTGTTATTATCTGAATAAGAATGAGTGCGTAAGCTGCCATAGCTATTGCTATCAAGACAAGCGCACTTAGGATGCCAAGGCCAATAATCCACGGTAACGGACACTTTATTTTATTGTTACCAACGGGTTTTTTCGGTTTCTAGAAAGAAAATTGAGCATGAGGAAAAGAATAACATGGCTCTAGATTGAATCGGCTCATAGAAAGGATTATCTCACTTGCGCCGTTTGTTGGATGATGGCCGGACAAGGTAGACAGTGACTGATGAGTCGCAAGATTTTCTACGAGTTGTCATTAACCGTGTTGTGGATGCCGAGTGGAGGCCGACAGAATATCTTGACATTGGCGATGGATTCACACATGACGACGAACGACTATTCATGTTTTGTCTTTCATCATCAACAGATATCACTTGCGAGCGAGAACGAGACGTCCATCGAGAGCTCTTTGTCCTTGGAACAAATGACATTCGAGTAGATCGATACCTGTCCATTCTCTATGAGACACACAATAGAATAAATTCAATTTTTCTTTCTCTTATTATTATTTGAGCACACAAATTATACTACTATTTAATATTTGCCAAAGAAACCTTTGAAAGGGACAATGCAATGCGGAGTCATTGTCTGTTTTAATCAAATTCTGTTGCATTTATCATAAGATGTTTGCATATAAACAAACTCAATCAATTTCAATGTTTTTGCAGATTTAGGTCATATTGTTCACTACTATAATACGAGCTTAAAACTTGAATATTCTTCCAGATGATTTTAATCATTCTCCAATCTAACAATTTGACGTCTCAAAGGTCAGCAGAGCCAAGATGAGACAATAGCTGTCAGAAAGATAAAGGTAGCACAGTAGAACGTGTCATCTGTCTCTTCGATTTCGGTCAACTAACTATAGTTATCATTGCGTGGCCAGTATTTGTGTCTTTATAAGAACAGTCTCGTTGTCAAAATAGAGTCAACTAATTAAAAGCATTCCGGTGGTCGAGGATACACTGTGTCCGATAAGATTATTCCTTTTTCGCATTAGGCGTCTCCTCTATTGAGATGGTACCACAATATTTGTGCAATGTTAGAAGATTTCATTCTGATTGAAAAAAACGCCAGCATCGTTCTCTCATTCTCATAACTGAATGCATTTCGTCACAAGTTCCCTTTTGTGAAATTAAATTGAAAGAAAATGTCCTGAGGGCGAAGGTGAGTAATACATAAGAATAATTTTGCCACGACCGGTTTTGGCCTTTCTCAAGCACCTCATCAGGTAACTTTAAGTCTGCATAAGCCTGGTGCATTTGGAATCGAAATAGTATATACCCTAGTCTCAATCCTGTTCATTCCTTGAGAAATCCTGGAAGGATCTTTCAGAATCCTGGATCTCCAGGATTTTGCCAAGTTTTATTCAAAGATCTTTGCAGGTTACTGTTTAGTCCACTCAAGCGTGTTCATTTCTTGAGAGAGCCTAGAAGAATCTTTCAGCATCACATCACAAATGTCAAGGATTATGCCAAGTTTGATTCTGGATTGACTCTTCAGGATTTGTTCAAGTTCTTTGTCGGATTTTTTTCTTAACTGATTTTGCAGGATCCCACTAAGATTCATTCTCGATCCTATTCGAGATTCTGACAAGGACCACAGTCAGATTTTGGTCAAGCTTTTATTAGGTTTGAGTCAAGATTTGTTCTGGATCGTGATACGAAGATCCTGTCAAGAGTTATAGTCATATCGGAGAAGGATTTTATCAGGAATAAAACAATATTAGTCAAAATCCTCAACTGTAAATCCTGCCAAGCTTCGGTCCGTATCCTGCGCTGAATTGCTCAAGAACAGGCATTTCAAATCCTTAAAAAAAAGTACAAGTATGATCAGGATTTTGATGAGAAAATACAAGGATCTAGTTAAGATTTTCGCAGGTTTGTTTTTAGGGACTATTCAGACTTTGATTTTCAGGATCCTATCAAGGTTTATAGCTAATTCTGTTCAGGAACCCGACAAGGATGCATGAAGCTCACGTTTTTGGCTAGGTTCAGGTCAGGATCCGTTCAAGATTTATAAATCTATAGATCAAAACAGAATTTCAATACCAATGTTGAGCAAAATTAAAAAAAAATAAAACGAGGGATTTTTCAAGATCGTATTGGGTTTTTGCTCGAAACACGACGAAATTCTGAGAACTGAATAACCTACCGGCATTTTAATCCTGATCTGGATTTGGTACTTTTCATAAACAAATAGAACAAATCTGAAAAAAAATCGTAGAAAATTTTTTTCTAAATCTTTTCAAAATTCATATATTGTTTCATCGGTATGTAAACTGAAGGTCTAAAGATCGATACTCTATGCGTTAATTTCTCTTTTGTTCTATTTAGAAAATCCTGCAAAGATCCTGGCAACAAATTTAATAACATCTTCGAGGAAACCTAGTTAAATCCCAAAAGATGTTATCAGAGATCTTTTCTATTCCAATTAGGAATTATTGAAATCTGGACAGGATCCTAAAATTCCGTGGCTACACACTTCTTTCAGAATTTAGTCGTTTCCTCAGGAAAAAGAACGAATCCTTGCAGGATCCTTATCATATCTGTCAAGGATCTGGCGCTGAAACATCAAAGGGATGTTACATGCAATGCCGGCAAGTACCGGTCCTGGGGCTCAAAAGAAATTCCATACTACATCTGAACCACTGAAAATCAAGGCCTCGCTCTAGTGGAATTCGACAGTATCCTCGAAGGATCCTGAAGAACTTTTTTACAAGATATCCAGTAATCCTGAAAAAAACCTGCAAAAAGCTTGGCAGGACCTTTGAAAACCTTGTTTTGAATCCTGTCAAGATCCCGAAATCTCGTGGCTATATTCTTCTTCCAGGACTTCCATTTAATCGTTTCCTGACTGAATTCTGGTTCAAAAACAATGATAAACCTGTTAGAATCCTTGAAAATCTTGTTGTCAGTTTTGTTAGGATCTTGAGATTCCGTGACTACACGCTTCCTCCAGGATCTGAAGGTTTTCTGGTTGAAAATCAATGGTAAACCTGTTACGATCCTGGAAACTCTTATTTTGTATCCTGTCAGGATCCTGAAATTCTGTGGCTACACGCTTGTTTTAGGATTTAGTCGTTTTCTCAGGAAAAAGAGCGAATCCTTGCAGGATCCTTATCATATTTGATCCTGATCATATTCGAGCTTTTGCATGGTGTATGGAATGTCGAAGCTAGGCTATAATCAAAGAAATATTATAATCATCTTATATGCGCAGGAAAAACATGTGTTGCATAATGATACGGTAGAATAGAGAATGCAAACCAACTTCTCCTACACTGATCGTAGATTTGTTGTATTGTCAAGACCTGTAGTTCATGAAAGAGAATCAGCTTTTCTTATAATTGCACTTATTTTGTTCTTTTTAAAATTGGATTTGTTCCAGGAGTAATTGAATGAGAGAAACAACAAGTCATGCTCAATCGATGTCTCGGATTTGCTTCTAGCTGATCCTATCTTGTTCAGCAGGTGTAAAAACCTACAAATCTAAATTTTGAGCCTTCGAGGACGTTTACTTTCTGAGTTCTGGACGGTATTCTAGAGTCCAAAAAATGGGAAGCAAAAATAAAGATACTATTTCTTCACCTAGACAAGTGATGGAAGAGGGATTTTTTCACCTTATGTAGTCCATTGCACGATCTGTCCGATAATGCGATCAGATCCTGTTCACCTCGGACATTCAGTCCGACACCGATGGTCCTCTGAGCATCTTAGGGGTTTATATTATTTGACACCGTTCTCGAGCCTCTGGCTTAAGTATACAACGTATACTTTTTCATAGACATTCAAGTGTGGACTATCCGAATCTGGTCTCAAAAGCGTAGGATCTTGTAAGGAGGTATATCTAGAAACCATCAAGCTCACCAAACAAATTTTTAAATTACATGACTGGAAATAGCGTAAAATTCTAAACAAAATGAGGTATTGCTCATAACTTTGAGCAATAATTTCAGAAAGATGATAAAATAACAGATTTTCAAGCAAAAATAGTTTACTATAAAAACTTAATTTTTAGGTTGTCGAATTTATGGCTTAGAAAAAACTGAAAACTATGAGTAATACATTATTTTGTTCAGAATTTCGTGCTCTTTTCAATTATGTAATTTAAAAATTTGTCTGGTAAACTTAAGAATTTCTAGAAAAATCCCAAAGTTTTTCCAGGGTTCTTACAAGATTCCACATTTTTGAGACCAAATTCTGATAGTCCACACTTGAACGTCTATGGAAAAATGCACCTCGTTTTATACTTAAGTCAGAGGCTCGAGAACGGTGCCAAACAATATAAACCCTTAAGATCCTCAGATGACCATCGGTGTCGGGCTGAATGTCTGAGGTATTAAAACAGTAGGAAAGAAATAGTATCTTTATTTTTGCTCCCCATTTTTTGGACTCTAGAAAACCGTTCAGAACTCAGAAAGTAAAGTGGAATTAGTTATCATGTGGATTTAGTGTTGTTAGACGTGAAAGAAAACTTCTGTTTACCCTGAAATAAACAGATATTATTCCAATTAGCATTACTCTATTGCGCAACACGCAGATAACGTGCAATCTCATCGAGAAAGATTTTAATGACCAAAAATAAGTAAATTTTGCTATCAAGGTTGCTAATTGAAAGTCTCAGACAAACAGTCTGAGTACAGTAAGTTAATTATAATCTTTTGGTTGGAAAAAGCATCTCAGTCTCACTTATTTTGTCTGAATAAATAATAAATCTTATAACTCGATGAAAACTTGTTGGTTAGTTCTCAAACTTTTAGTATGCTCTGTATTCTCGAGCTATCAGAATTTTGATGATAATTCATAATGGACTGTTATTCAAAATCATTCTTGAATGCCATCTCCGATCAGTATACTTAAACTATTATGTTTTCGCATAATGATTATATGTGCTACGCGCAATGAAACAAAAGTCTGTCAGTTTGATTTAAGGAGTAAAGGAGTAATCATTTGTCTCAAGAAAGTTTCTTGATTATGTATTTTACTGGAACTATAACCTTATATGAAAAAAGTGATCAAAATGGAGTTACAAAATTTTTTTCCCATTCGTTTTGCTGGGAAATGAAAAAATATTTTGAAAAAAAACCTTGCCAAAAATGCTTCAAACACGGTGCATGGTGGAAAATAACTTTTGTAACAAAAAATGGGCGCAATGGCCGATTGTGAGGGGTGACGTCTAATTTTCAAAATTTTCTTCGATATGTTTTAAATTTAAAATCTTGAAAACTCAAAAAGTTTAAATTTAATTTTTTTCAAAATTTTCCTATTAACTCTGAAAAACAGACAACGTTACCCTTCGCAGTCTCCCATTGTGATTACGCCAATCGTACTTTTCGCCAATTGGTGAATATCAACTAGCAGTTCGCCAATTGGTGAAAGTCCTCAGGAATTTCGCCA